GTCGTTCCGACTCATCCGGGAAGCGAGAGAGCACGTCTCTCCTGGGAAAGCGGGCCCCTTTGCGGGGTTTGTAGGACGCAGGGCGCTTTCAAAGAGGAAATCGCCTGGTCTCGGCAGGACCTGCCTTTGAAGCAAAGGTCTCGGGGGACGGGACCTTCGGGGCCGCCACGCGTCGCGTTTTTGGGATCCGGCGTCCGCCGAGAGCGCGGAAGCCCGAGGAGCAACCGCGCCCGGCGTGGACGGGGAGCTCGGCACGGCCGAGCGGCGTCCGCATGCCACCGCGCACGTCCTTTGGGCAGGTCCGCGAGGCACCGCTCCGAGCAGTCGCCCGAGGCGTCGCTGCGTGGGTCTTCCAGATTTGCCGTGAACAATTGGCAGCCTTTTTGCCAGAGGAGCCCGCTCTCTCAACGGGGCACAAACCGAGCCCCGTGGGTCGCTAATCCTTTCCTTTCCTTTCTGTGTACTCTCAAGCCAGAAACCCCTGCCTTGAAATCCAGAGCAGTAACCGTTGCCCACGGCTCTCGGATCTCGCCGCTCGCAGAGCTGCAGCACAGCCGCTCGTTATCGCCGCAAGGGCGAGCGGTCTCCCGAGACAGCCGAGGAGGGAAAGGGGACGGGCCGAAGGGGCGGCGAACGCGGGCAGGGACGGAGGCGCCGGCTAATCGGGGTGACGGACGGGACGGGACAAAACCCGTGTCTGTCGGTACCGGGCGCTGCCGGCCGGCAGCGGCCTGCGGCGTGACGATGCTCTGGGCTTAGCCAGACTCGCTCAGGCTCGGGTTTCTTCCCGTCTCTATCCGTGTCTAAGAAGGGTAGAAGTCCGGCAGCGGTCCGGCAGCCTACGCAGGCAGGGGAAGCCGTGGCCCGTGCCCCGGCTGTAAAGGTTCTTCGGTGGCGACCCCCGCCTTCGGGCCGGAGCTCATCAGCTGGACTCGAGGGGGGCGAGTGGGAAGGTCTGCGTCTCAGGTGGAATAACCGGATTCGTGAAAAAGAGTAATCTGGATTACGGCGTGGCTGGCAGAGAGGGTAACGCAGAGACGCACGTACCAGCCGTGCGGCTCAGCTCCCCCGGGACCCCGAGCGGGTCGCAGCGCCTCTCTGCCCCGCCGCACGGTCTCCGCGGCAAGGGCGACCGTGTCGCGCCCAGCCGCTCCTCGCTTTGTTCCC